AAATAGGTAGCAAAGTATTTTCCAAAGTGGAATACAGAATCCTTTGCTGATTACATCAGCGTTTTTCATATCTCTCCTTTGCATCTGTTAGTGGCTCACATACAACTGTGTCTACGTTTGAAGATCATGCTGATAGGTTACAGGCAAGCAGGACCATAACAGGATCCCTGTCAAGGGAAAGTCAACTTGAATCAGAATTAGGAAGCTAAAAAGGTAAAGTTTAGCTTACAGCTAAAAAATTTTTAAGTAATATTTATTTTTATTATTATATTCTTATCACTTAAAACAATTTGTCATATTCTATTTTTCCTAAAGTCCCTCCAGATCCTCCCCCATTTCTACTCACACAACTTTAAGTTCTTTCTCAAAAAACAAAAAACAAAAAGAAACAGGAGCAAAAAAAGCCAAAACCCAGTACAACAAAACTTACTAAAACCAAGGAAACATAAAACCACATCCAAAAATAGAAACAAAAAATACCACCAAACTGTAACCAAAGAAACACACATACACAAAAAGGGTAGTCAAATTATATGTTGGTCATCTACTCCTGAGCATGAGGCTTGTCCTGGCCTGGTTGATACATCCAGAGTCACTCTATTGGAGAAAACTGATTTTCCTTTCCCAGAAGGTGTATGTAAAAGTTCAGTTGTTAACTTTTACCCTAGTGGCTAGGTTTTCATTCATTTCATTTCTTCTACCTCAGAACCCTCTAATTTATTTAATTGAGATTACTTTAGTGGTTTAGGTTCTTAGAAAACAATATATTTTAAGTCCTTCTTAGCAGGGTAAGGAGAAGGCAACGAAAGTCTAAAAATAAGAGGAAGAAAGTGATACTGCTTATAAGCCAACTTCCTTCCTTTAACACGGTGGTGGAAGGGCAAATACCATTTTCTTTTTTAAACTAGAAGGGACATGACAGTGTGTCATGAGTTAGTTCGCATGGGGCTTTTTGTTGATTTGTTTGTTTGTCTTAAGGAAGTTCTGTCTCAGCAGAACTTGGGTCAGCTTGCTTACGTAAGTCCGCCATTGGGAACCCCAGCCTCAGGTAGACTCAGCCGTAAGATTGGAGTCCTTACCATATTCAAAGCAAAACCACCAAACAGGTGAGAGAGGTACAAGCAGTCACAGCCCAAACTGACGACAAAACCAAATGTCATGTAGCCGGCCATCTGCGTGATTTCAGAACACATGTTCTGACACCAAACATTCTAACCACTTCCTTCCACTTAAAACTCTATTTTTTTAAAGGTGCTTTCCTTCTTCCAGCATACACATGCATGTAACATCAAAGACTTTTCTTGAACATTTCTGAAAAGAGCTGTTTAAGGAACAACTTAAAATGAGTTGTTGGAAAACAGCTGTCTTTGGAGGCCACCTATTTTCACAGGTGCTGCTGACATGCCCACTGTCAGAAGGGTGTCTTAGTTGCCTAGTGCCACTGAGACCCTCCTGATGATTCTTCCAAACTGCATCTGTACTTCTTAGCCACCATATGAACATGATCCATGATGATTTCCTTCAAGGCATTAGAGAGTCCAGGTATTCAGTGTTTTCCTTACTTCATCTGCTGCTCTCCTGGGAACACAGGCAGAGAGGCTTCCTGTCACGTGTGGCTGCTCCTCAGCCCAGAGGTTGGCTCACTGCTGATCTTCAGTGACCATCCTGCTTCAACACGTATGCCACCAATGTCGTTTCTTCCCTCCTTGACCTTCCTCACTTTCTCCTCTCACCTTTACTGTCTACATTATAAGCTGTATTTGTTAACACACTCGTGAAATAAGCATTGGTTTACCGTCTAACCTGAGCCAAGCACTATCCTGCATCCTTGTTAGTGAATAATGAAGGAAGAGAACAAAGCTCCTCAAAGGGGAGGAGCATACTTACACTCTTGCTGTGGGAAGGGGGGTGTTCTGGCAACATACCTAAAACAAGACTCCAGAGCTTTAGAGCTTCGACACTTTTGTTTAACTTTAAACAAAGTTAAAGCAGGTTAAGGAGGCTCTAGAGTGTTAGGTTGAGAGGGAAGAAATATATTTCCTGTTAAACAGATTCAGAGGAGGCTTTAGAGAGAAAATGAAATTTGACCACCACCCCCAAAAGTGAAGATGGAGGTATTGACATGTACTTAGATATTAGGAGGGCCATTCAGGACAGAGCAATTGCTAACACAGAGATTTAAGTGAGGAGACTGTGAGGAGTCCTATAGAAGCAGGAACAGGACAGCGGTGGCGCTGAACAGTGAAGGGTAGGATTGCAAGGACCTGGAATGGATGGGAGTGTAGGTCACATGGAGACTTTCCATGTTGTTGTTCCTAGGAGCAGTGTGTGCTTTCTGAACTCACGATCCTCCAGTCTCCATGGTAACAGCTATGGTTAAAATACTAATTGGGAGTTTCCAGAAATTCATAATTCATAAATCTTACAGAACTTTTTTAAAGTCACCAATTGCTCCATTTTATTGTTAAATGTGGTTATTACTATCTTACTCTGCCTGATTTATAAACTAAACTTTATCAAAGCTATGTGTACATTAAAAAATCCATTCCCTTGGGTTTGAGTATTTTCTAGCACCTACTGGGAATCTTGGAACACATTTCCTGCACATGAATGGAGCCCATGCTCTGATGGAAAGCAAAATCATTGGAAGGTTTGGAGGAGACATGATCTGAATGATGCTTTAGAGATATCTCTGCCCTCTAAATCACTGATTATCAATCTTCCCAACGGTGTGATGCTTTAACACTGTTCTTCATGTTGTAGTGACTCTCAGCCATAAGATTATTTTCATAACCAGAATTTTGCTACTGTTATGAGTTATAATGCCCTTACCTGATATGGAGGATATGTGACCTCTGTGAAAGGGTTGTTCAACCCCCAAAGATGTCATAACCCACAGCTTGAGAAGTGATGCTCTAACTGAAAGCTGGACCACAGAGAGGCAAGGAGAAGGTTTGCACTGTGATCAGTATTCTTCTCTGTTATCTTGGATGAATTTGTGATTGCTTAGGAAACACACCTCTGGTATCTACAAGGGTGTGTACATCGAGTTAGAGCAGGAAGTGGGAAGGGAAGACTCACTCTGATTGTGAGCTGCAAAATTCCATGCAACAGGGGTCCAGATTGATTTAAAAGGTAAAAGGCAGAAGGAAAGCTGAGCCCCAGCATTTGTTTTTCTCTGATGCCCGAAACACATCAGTGTAAGAAGACTCCAATGCTGTGCCAGTAAACCGCTATTGTCAGCAAGCCTTCCTGTTGTGATGAGCTCTGGCCTCTAACTGTGAACCAGAACAAGTGCTTTTCCTTAACTTGCTTCGCACAATGTATTTGGCTACAATAACAAGAAAAGTAAACATTACACTATCAATATGGGATCACTATTGTATGTTAGGCCCTTAGCATACAAAATGTGGTTTTTGAAGGAGTTAATGTATGAATGATCAAAATATGGAGGTTGAAGGTATGAGATAATCTCACAAGCAGGAAGTAGCAAGTAAAGTTTTCTCACATTTTGAGGAGCCTTTCAGGATATTAACTGCTTTCATTGACCACTTGTGTGCAAATATGTGTGACTATACACACATAGCACATAGTCACTGCTTGATGACACACTATGAATTTGAGATGCCTATTTTTCAAATATTCTCAGTTTTGAACTCATGAGCGTAAAATACATGCAGAACATATTTACCCTGTAACAATCGCCTATCCCTCTAGACCTTCCCAATGTGCTAGGGTGGACTTGCTTGCTCTGAAGGTGGGTATGTTTTAATCTAGGACCATATAGGAGGAGAAAATGTTCAAATTATTTGTTCCAAATGGCACTGAACATTTCAGCTCCTTGTACTTATGGAAATTAAGCCACAGCTTTTATTCTGTTAAGTGTTTACTATTTGCCTGCTGTGGGTCCTTCTATTTACTGGAAAGTGACACTGTAATACTGCTAAGCTGAGTTAGGGGTTTTTATTAATTCTAAACTTTGTGGAAGACGTCTGTTATCACAAGATGAAGGTCATGGTTTCAGTTCTTGTTTAGGGATAACACTGGTTATAAAAGAGAAGAAAACCTTTCTCTGCTACAGATTCTTCCTCAGCCCTGAGGAACTTATTTGCAAAGACTTCGTGTATAAGTTTTGGCCAAGAGTGTGAATCTGGAAAGCCCTACACAAACCCATCTGGGAGGAAAGGAAAGTACAGATGGCATATTGATAGTCAATTCGTCTATGAAAAGCAATGGATATTTAAGACTTTCTATCTTTAACACGATGATGTAGTTTCAAGATGATAAGTTTAAAGGCTAGATAATTTTAAGACTTGTAGGAATGACCTAATTGATCTAATCATGCATAAACATTCTCTGAATTTGTGTATCTATCAGACACTGTTCAGCAAAATTGAGCAGAAAACCTTACAAGTTTGTATTGTCAATCATGTCTTTCCAACAGGAGAAACGAAGTCCTCGAAGAAAGATATCTTCTCCTGAATGAGGCCAAAAGAGGAGGGGGGGTGAAGGAGAAAAGATAGGTGGGGGAGAAGGAAGAATGAAAGAAAGAAAGAGAGAGGGGAAAGGACAGAAGGAGGAAGAGAAGGAAGGAGGGAGAGAGGGAGATTCAAAAATATTCAGAAGGTAATTTCCAACAGGTTTATGTTCATTTAGAGAATATTAGTGTGCTCTTCAGTTGGAACTATGTCTTTTCCAGCCAAGTGCTTTTCATCAACTTTCTAGTACCAGGTCTTTATTCCTTCCTAAGGCGTGGGCTTCACGTGAAATCACATAGCCTTTGGTTGATTATCTCCAAAACAGTGGGAGTATTGGCACTACTGAACCAGTAGACACCTTGCCTGGCAGGTCAATATTGCAGTAAATGTGTGGCTGAGTGAGGCCATTGATGAATTTACTTTTAAAGCAACCTGAATAACACCTTCCAGCACTATGAATGCTAGCTGGCAGAAGGAGAGAGAGAGAGAGAGAGAGAGAGAGAGAGAGAGAGAGAGAGAGACCTTTCTGGGTCTTAGAGGTATTTTGCATCTGATGGGGTTTTGCTTAAAAGCCCATGGCTTCTTGGAGCAGAATTTGCCACTCATATAGGAAAGGTACTTCAATTTCAACCTTTTAAAAACTTAGCATCTAAATGTATAAAGCAAACAACCTAGATGTCTCTCACCTGAAGAACAGATGCAGAAATTCTGGTACATTTACACAATGGAATACTACTCAGCAATTATAAACAAGGAAATCATGAAAATTTCAGGCAAATGGTGGGAACTAGAAAAGATCATCCTGAGTGAGGTAACTCAGAAGCAGAAAGACACATATGGTATATACTCACTTATAAGTGGATAATAGCCATGTAATATAGTATAAACATTCTAAAATCTATAGTCCTAAAGAAGCTAAACAACAAGGAGGATCCTAAGGAAGAGGCTGAAACCTCACTCAGAAGGGTAAACAGGACAGACATCTGAAGTAGAAGAAAAGGAACAGGACAGGAGCCTTCCACAGGGGGCCTCTGAAGGACTCAACACATCAGGGTATGGAAGGAGATACTGCAACTCACTTTGAGCAGAGTGTAGGAAACCTTATGAAAGAGGACCTGGAGGGGACAGGAACTGCACAAGGAGACCAACAGAGCCAAAAAAAAAAAAAAAAAAAAACCCACAAACAAACCTGGACCCAGGGGGTCCTGCAGAGATCAACACTCCAAGGACCATGCATGGAGAGGACCTATAGATCCTCTGCTCTATTTCCAAGTGCGTTCCCTAGTAAGAGGGGCAGGGGTTGTCTCTGTCATGAACTCAGTGGCCAGCTCTTTCATCACCTCTCCCTTGGGGGTGGGGGTGTTGCAGCCTTGCAAGACCACAGAGGAAGATGATGCAGCTAGCTAGCCCTGATAAGAATTGATAGGCTCGAGTCAGATAGAAGGGGAGGAGGTCTTCCCCTATCAGTGGAATAGGGAAGGGACAAAGGAGAAGAAAAGGGAGGGTGGGTGGGACTGTGAGGAGATGGAGGGGGTTTCATCTGGGAAACAAAGTAAAAAGAAAGAAAGAAAGAAAGAAAGAAAGAAAGAAAGAAAGAAAGAA